CCATCTCCTGTGACCAGAACCTGCCGGGCTCCAGCTAAGGAAGGATGTGTGTACCCTGCAAGCAACTGCCTCCCATGCACCCTGCTCTTTCCTTGGGGAGTCTGGGAATCCAGGACCGCCCTTCAGGATCAGCAGCCAGACAGAGCCAGAAGCCAGGGCCACCTGTGGACCGAGCTGTGGACCCAGGGACCACAAGGGCATCCACATGGTCCTGTGGTCCGTGGGCAGTGAAGTTAGGAGCTTGGCTTGCATTTGAGCAGCTGCTAATACTTTTGCATGACAGTAAAAATAGCGAGTGATAAGGAATTTCCAAGATAATAAAATGCACATCTACCCCTCGATATATTTATCCCACCACATATATACATATGCTATTCATAAGTCCCATGTTCATCTGGAATTTCAATTAGCATGATTAGCAAACCCAAGCTTTACTGACAACTTTTACAACTCTGATATGCCAGTAGACTTGTGGATAAGCGGTACTCACACCAAGCACACCCACGTGTTTCCTCTGTGCAGGAGGGGCGGGTGATCATTGGGGATTATACTGAGAATCTTTTTTAAAAAATTAGCATCAAAACAACAGTACAAATCATACAAATCCTCCCAAAACGCATAATTAAGACTCTAATGTGTTTTTTCTTCCCTCTCTCTGGTAATTGAAGTACGTTGTCTACTTTATCCCATTATTATGGATTTAAATCATGTTTATTGAAGTTGCTTTTGCTAAGAAAAGTTTTAAGAGGGAGGATGGGGAAATCTCTTCTGAGCACTGTTCGGATGTCAAGTCCAACACAGGTCCAGGAAGGGGCTCAGATACATGCCCAAAGCGCATAAATGTTTCCCCCAATTTTCCTAAAGTGGCTCCAATGCTCAGAGGTGAATTCTATGTGTGGTGGTGGAGATCTCAACCCCGAGCCTCAAACCCCTACATTTCCTAAGGATTTTCAGGAATCAATTTCAAATGGCTCGTACTTCAGCTCAGAACACTTGAAGGCTCGCATGTATAGATGTTCCTATTTCCCGCATCTGATTGCTGCTCTCAGTGCTTTTGTGATGACGGTTTTCCTTCATAGAACCGGCTTAAAATTAGAAAAATCAAACACCCATTAGAGAAAGCAGATTTACTCTGCTATTAGTTGATACCGAGAAGTAGAGCTCCTACCACTTGGGCAGGAGCCCTGTGCTGCCTCCCCATCTATGCTGCTTCCCAAGCGGACTGCCAGGGTCCTGACCCTGGGTCGCTGGTGGCCGACTGCCTGCTGGGCCCAGGCCGGTGCCGAGTGTCCACGGGAATGGAGCCTTGAATTCCAGCAGCAGGGATGTGCGCTCCAGGCAGCTGTCTGCAACACATCTGTCCACAAGTCCTGGGCTGTGTGTGATGCTATTCCCACTTTTTTTTTTTTTTTTTTAAACATGAGCAGCCCTGAAAGCCAAACTCCCTGCTCAGTTCTGGCTTCTCCCTACCCTACTGGAAACCTGGCATCACCCTATGTGGTGACCAGAAAATGATTCTCACGGAAAAGGCAGCTTCTGCGCCGCCAGAGATTAAACAGGGAAGGTGGGAGCTCCCAGGACCTGAGCTGTCTCCTTGCAGAGGCCGGAAACCACCCAGGAGGGGCGGGGAGGCCGAGCACTAGGAGAATCTGTTGAAATATGACTCCAAGGTTTTAACTTTAAATAAGCATTTCCGTGCTAATAGAAGCCCCGCTTAAGGTCTCCCGCAGCTTTGATTTTGGAACACGTCACATTCCTCATTAAAGCAATCACTGTTAAAACATAAAGCAACACAGGATTTATTTCTTCATTAAACTGATGATCCGTATATAAAGCCAATTAACATTATGAGCCTGGTGAACATCAAGTGTAAAGAGGTTGGAGAAAATTAAAAGCAGTCACCTTGGTCTTTAGATAAAGAAAGTACACTTTCAGGTTGTAAATTGTCAGAGTGTCCAAGCGGGACAGATCGGCGGATTTGGTTAATTGGAAAATACATTTTACGGCATAAGAATTAAGGAAAAAATGACCGTTTCATTATTAAAGCCTGTGTGTGCATGCGGAAGGGGGGGGGGTAGGGAATACCTATCAGTCACCTTCTCCGAGGTCCCCAGCATAGGCGACAATCGGGCAATACAACGGCTCTGACCATGCTTTGCGGAGATTTTGTTTCTGCAGTTCTTGGGTCGCGCACTGATGTTTGGTGAACACCTGGCCCGGTTGCACCGGGCCTGCACGGCGGGCACAGGAGGCCGCGGGCATCCGGCGCCAGGCGCAGCCCGGTGCGCATCGGTGTCTACCGGCCCCGGCGGCTCCGGGTCCAGCCCAGGGCGGTCAGGCCCGCATCCAGGGCCGCGGGGATAGGGCGGGGGGGGGGGCGCCCGGACTGGGGCACCGGGCTGGACCGCGTGCGGACTGCAGAGTCGGAGTTCGGTCCCCGCCTCAGCGCTGAGAGCGCGTCCCAAGTAACTTCAGGTCGCTGCCGGGAGCGCACCGATCGGCCCCAGCGCCGGAGCGTCCCCGCCTTTGCAGGCCGGGAGCCGAGGGCCCTGGCACCGGCTTCCGCTCCGGCTTTTTTTTCCGGGTGGGTCGGAGCGCGCCGCTGTCCACGGTTCTGATCCGCCGCGTCACCCCGGCAGTGCGCAGCTCCCAGACCCGAGCGCGCCAGTGCCGGTCCAGTCCTCCGGAAGTCTCCGGGCCTCAACTGGACCCTGCATCGGGCGTCGCCGGGGGTGGCCCTGAGAGCGAGGCTTGGACCTGCTTGGTTTTGGGGGCCCTTTCAGCGCCCGGCTCTGGCTGACCGCGCCGATGCCCCGGGCGTCTTGGCGGAGCCGGCAAGGACCCCGCCTCGCCCCACTTTCCAGGAGCGCAGCGGGAGCTGCAGTCCAGGGCGCGGGGCACCCAGAGGCTTTTTGCAGACCTCGGAGCGCAAGGCGGGTCTCCAGCCGAGGAGGAGGGCTGCAGAGTAGGGGTCCTGCGAGGGACACAGAGTGACAGCGCCGGCGCCGGGGCGGAGGCAGGGCGGGCTCCCAGCTCCAGGCCCCTCCCGGGATGTGGGCGCAGCGAGCCCCGCCGGCCCTGCAGCGCCTCGCAAACCCCGAGCGCCCTCCTCCCACGCCGGTCGCCCGGCTCGCGAACCAGGGGCCCCGGCAGAGCTGGAGCTGGGATCTCTCCGCTCGGAACCGAACCGGCGTTTCCCAGGCTCCCGGCTCGCCACAGAGCCCACTCTGCCCGTGCCCGGAGGCTGAGCCCAGGAACCGCAGCTTCGAGTCGCAGGCCCCGACTTGCCTGGGCCGGAGGCGCTGCGTCCTCCTCGGGGTCCATGCGCGGCCCGGGGCCCCGGCGTCACGCCCTCCAGCTCCACGCCGCAGCCGAGGGCCGTGTCCACGAGTGGGTCCGCCTGGGCTTTTGTTTCCAGCGCGCTGTGTCTTTAAGCTCGGGGTTGGATCCTGGGCCGGCAAGGACCCGACCCTTGCCTCGCAGCCAAGACTTCAGAACGCAGCATTAGAATGTTTATAAAATATTCAATTTATGCAGTCTGTCCAAGAAGCCACCGTCCCAAAATAAAATCAGCAGTCTAGACGGAACACAGACAACAGAACTTATCAACAGTTGTCTGACTTGCATCTTCTGATGCATCTTGAGTGGGTCATAATACCAACTTTATTTTCAGTGGTGCATAAATTAATTACACGCATTTAATAACCAAAATATCATTATATTCCCCCTTTAATATCATAAAGGCTTTCCGCCAGGGAAGCACTTAATAGTGCAGGGGGCCGTAACGGGCTATTATCCTGGTGTAATGCTATTACAGAACCAATTATGCACCATTAGACTGGCATTTTTGCAGTTTATGTGATTTGATCCAATCCCGCGCCCCTGACTTGAAAATTTCAGCCCGGTACTTTAGAGTTTAATTTTCACCCAGGCAGAGAGAAGGGCGGTCTCTCTCTGCTGAGTGTCTGCCTCCGATGCATTTTAAAAGTAATTGCGAAGGGTCCCACCGCATATCATTTGCATGGAGAAGCGAGCATAAATTCCGGGACCCCTTGCTGAGAACAAAATCAAACTTTCCTTTTGTACGATCGCTTGGAAAGGGAAGCGGTGTGCAGAGTCCCCCCCAAACCTACCCGGCAGCGACAATTAGCAGTGCTTTGTCAAGTCGAAGCCCGGGAATCGCCCGGCCTGTGACAAGGACAGTCCAAATCCAATCTCTCCGGGATAAAGAAGGTTTGAGTGCGGGGGCAAGCGGAGGGGGCGGGCTGAGGGCTGGGAACGCAACCTCTGTTTGGGGGGTGATGGTGGTGGCCATTGTTTCTTCTTTTAAAGGAAAACAGAAAAAAAACCATTCTCGATGTTTGCTGAGAAATGACGGATTTTTTTTTCTTGCACCACGTGGGCCGTTTGTAAGGCCCAATAGACCTATCCAAGTTACTCGCTGTAGACAGCGCTGGAAATAATCAGATTAAGGCCAATTATGCGTGAGATTATAAAGGCGAGTGCTGAGCCGCGGCGCGCGCGGTAGACAGACAGCAAGACATCTGGCCACTTCCCGAGTCACTTCTCGGGTCCTGCGGGCGCCAGCAGCGCCGAGCCCCGCCCGCCGCCGGCACAGATCGCTGCGGCCAGGCCAGGCAGCTCGCTCCGGCCTGCTCGCCCGCCGCCTGCGGAGGGAGGTACGCGGGGCTCCGGACTCCGGGCTGCGCCCTGCTCCCGACCCAGCCCGTGCGCTGGCCTCCCGGGTCCCCGCCGCCTCCCGGCCCGGGGTGCGCGGTGGCCTTACGCGCTCGACAGACGCACGGCGGGGACCCCCGGAGCAGGGATCCGACTTGGCGGGCCGGCTCGGAACCGGAGTCCAGGCTTGGACAAGGGGTGCAGTCTCCTGCTTCGCGTCCCCGCGGCCGGCCCAGGCCGTCGGGAGGGGGCTGCCCGCCAAGGAGCCCCCAGTGCGCGCCCGCCCGGCCGCCCGAGCGCAGGCGGGGACTCAGGCTCTGCGCCCTTTGCTTTGCAGCCCGGCCGGAGCGCCCAGCCCAGGGTCCCGCAGCCCCCTCCGGGTCCGGCCGCTGCGCCGCCGTCGGCGATGTTTTATTTCCACTGCCCGCCGCAGCTGGAGGGTGAGTAGGCGCCGCGCCCCCTCCGGGCATGCGATGCCCACCGGCCTGGGAAGAGAGCAGCAGCCCGGCTGCAGTGGAGGGTCTGGGCCGAGCTAACGGGGCACCCCGGGCCGCCTCTCCGAGCCGGCTTCGCCCCCCAGCCCGCGCCACCTGCCTCCCCACTCCCTCCCCGCTCGGGCTGGGTGGCCCCGGGCTATGCGCGTGGTGGGGAAGTTGGTCCTCCCAGCACAGATGCTGGTGTCACGCCTGTAATCGGGGCTCCTCTGCCCCGGGGCCGCATCAATCTTTCACGGCGTTTTGCAAACACTCCCTTCCCTGAAAGCCCAGTGAGCTGGCGGCCACCGGGGCCCTGCCTACAGCCGGAGAGAACCAGAGCTCCGGGTATCGTGGAGGGAGCTCCGGGGCCCTACCAGGCAGCACCAGTCCCAGGCTGACATGCAGTCCCTGGAGCCAAGTGCCCCCCAAGATATCCCAGTACCATGGCAGGGGCTGATCTGATCGCCAAAGCCATCTACTCCCCCAGGCTGGGACTGGTCTTCACAAGCCCCAGGCCTTAGAAAGAATTTCCTTGCAGGAGCCTCGGTGTGGGGAAGGGGTGGTGAACACAACTTAGATCTTCGGGTGACCCCCAAGGGGGGTCCACCAGCAGAAGTGCAGCCTCACCCTGGGTCCCTCCTGGGACCTGCAGCTCTGGGAGTCAGGCTTGGTCCTAACCTTGGCGGCTGTCCGGGATGGTCGTTCACAGCCTAGTCCTGTCCTTTACTCTGGCCCTGGGACATTGTGGGGGTCCACAACTGGGAAGCAGGAGCAGGGCTACAGGCAGACCAGACACCAGGGATCAGAGGCAGCAGAGGATGCTTGTTTGAGCCTAGCTTAGGCACTGCTGGGGTTTCTGAAGTTGTTTTCCTGTCTAAGCTCTCAGGAGTCTGCAGGGCGTTTTAGGGGAAGTTCACAGGAGCAGTGGCCACACAGGGAAGCCACAGTGTTCAGGGTTTCATCTCTGTCACCCTGACAACCTGTGACAGGTCCTGATGTGACCCTGTACCTGCTTCCAGAGCAGGTCCTCCACTCACGGGGTGCTTCTGAACCCCAGTCGGAACCACCCCACAGCCCTCTCTTCTAACCCAACTGGACCAGGCATCTAGCAAGTGGCAGACATCCTGGGTCACCTCAGGGGCACCCTATCTGCAGGGTGGGCTGGGGATAGTCTTGGCCACAGCCCTCTCAGCTGGCCCCAGTGTGACCCCGGGGCACCCTCACCTGGGTGCTGATACAACCGGAAGAGAAGGTGCCGGGGGTTTGGACCCTCCACCCCTCTGTTGATGTGCCAGTTTTGCAGGAAGAAGTAGGTTCAGTGAGGGTCTGTTGTAAATGGAAATCCTAGGAGAAGACCTTTGGCGCAGGACGTGGGATCACAGCCGACGAGTTTTCTAATAGTGTTTTTTTTATTAATGTAGAGAGACGTCCAGGAGGAAGTAAAGCACGCTCCTGGTCTCACATCTCAGATAATAGCAGATGTTTTAGCTGACATTATAAATTAAAAAGCATTACGTGTGTTTGCCTGAGAAATACAAAGAGAACAGGAACCTAGGCATTAACAAATGAAACTCTTCTCCTCGTCTCCCTGAAGGCACATGCTACTGTGGGTTTCTTGATTCCTCCTAGAAAAACAGCTTTTTCTCTCTCATTTATATTTCTTTTCGTGTTCTAGCTCATTTGCACTAAAATAATATTGTTGAATCCTTCTGTGGTTCACTGTACATCTTGGGGGTTTTTCCATAGCAATATATGCCGGCCTGCTCATTTCTTTTGGACAGTTGTATAGTATTCCACACATTAGTCGTTTCCTGTTTTTTTTTTTTTTTTCCTATTGTAATATTTCTGGAAGATTCTTCTCTGTCCACTTTGGCACACTTTAAAATATATATTCATAGCTTAAATGCCCGACTGCACATGCAAAATTTTCATGATTATTGCTAAATTATCTTCTGATAAGGCTACAATAAGCCATGCTTTTATAAATGAGAAGCCAAAATGCACAATTCATGACAATCTGTCTGTATCGGGCATCATGGTACACTTTTTTTTGTTTGTTAAAATAGCAAAAAATAGTATTTCATTGTTCTATTGTGTTTTAAGTATCTATGGAGTTTAGCATTTTCATAACATTTTCAATCATTCTATTTAAGTGAAGAGTCTGTCCGTATGTCTCATTTATTTCCCTTTTCTTCTTGGTTTGATGAGTCAGCTTTCTTGAAGATTCAGCCTGACAGCCCAGGCTGTTGCATGGAGAGGTGAGAGACAGTTTGGTACCCACAGGTGTAAGTTAGCGGCCAGGGGGAGATTGTGGTTGGGGACCTCAGACATGACATTCTGGCCACATCAGGCAAGTGCTTAGTGGGCAGTTGGGCTTTCCGCAAAGTAAGGGAAGTCAGACAGCTTTGAGGCTGTCCATGCAGGTTTGCAGTGACCTCCAGAGAAATGTTTGTAACTAGGATTTTGAGGGGGAGCGACATTTGGCCTGGAAGACTGAGACAGAAAGCTTCTGAGTGTGTTTTGCTTAGGGCTGTGGCCGGGGGGGGGGGGGGGCGTAAAATAAGACAGGAAGGGATTCCTTTTAGTGGCTGGAATTTTAAGCTTTCAGGGCTGAGGTCCTCGGGCGGGATGTGTCAGGGCGGTGTGGCCTGAGAGTGGGTTCTGAACAAAGCGGGCTTCTGAGAACATAGCCAGGACAGGTGACCCGTCCTCTGGTTTTGGACGCCATCAT